ATTATAAGCATACTTCTCACTAGGTTTACTCAATGAGGGTTGGCGATTTCAAACTTATAATTAGAAATTATAAGCATACTTCTCACTACGTTTACTCAATGAGGGTTGGCGATTTCAAACTTATAATTAGAAATTATAAGCATACTTCATAATCTGGTATTTTGAGAGATACCTGCCCAACTCGATTGTCTCATATACGGAGGCATAACTACATAACAGAGAGTCGAAGTTTGTATCGAACCCGAGAAACGTGTTCTAATATTATATTCAAGTATTCGCTTATTCTGAACGGAATATCAGAAGAAAATTGTAGAACTGAACACAATAGGTATATGTACATATAATTGGATGCCCGTTTTGACCAAATACACACACAATTTCAGGAAATAGAGAATAGCAAAATGGAAAGGAAGTTTATTTTACTGATCTGAAATCTCAAACCGATTTTATTTATCTTTAAGGTCTCTTTCGAACCTCCTTGTATAAGTTTTAGAAGCAATACTTCTTCCAATGTGCTGTGCCATAGATATATAATGGTGCTGTGTTCAACTGTACATAAAGTATGACCAAGGAAGTTGAAAAAAGGTGTAGGACATTGCAGTTCAATTATTTTCTTGAGTCGATGTGCAAATTTCTGTTCAGAGATTTGAAACTTAATACGTTAAAGTAGACTTTCTTTGTATGTATCTTACGGAGTAACGATCACTGATCGAGTTTGCGAGCCTTTCAAGAACTACGTGCGTGCATTTTTTCATATAGCGGGCATAAGCGGCGCCAGATGTGGACATACCATAAGAAAATGATAATTAATTAATAGATCAAATTTGTTCACAGCGGACAATCTGAATGGAATTAGTTACACACTATAATTTAGTACGATATATTATAACTATACCAATACATATGTATGCATATAGACACAGATCCTGTCTGCTCCCTCATTCTCTCATAATACAATCGATGCAGGGTGCGCAAGGATGAATTAAGTAGGTACAGAAAATGCAACTGTAGAAACAACGAAATATTTATTGAAATAATAGCTAGAAGAGACATTAAACTAAAATTGAACTTAATAAGCAAGTACCTACTTATGAGAGATAAAATAAAATATAGACAAAACTTAAGAAAATTCCAACTTAAATAAATAAATATTAAGTATAATAAATATGAATCGCCTTTCACGATAAGTAACGTAAAACGGGGTGAATATATATTGGGAAAATGTTCTAACATCTATTCACCCCATTCCTGTTGCTATTCACCTTTTGAATTCTATTCATCCCGTTTTACGGTACGGTAAGGGAGTTATTCAGCCATTCGGCTTAGGCCAGGGCTATATTTCACCGGGATTTTTTTTAATGGTGGAAATTCATCGAATGACTGCTCTTGCCTGGGTTAGGCGGGAGGGAGTGTCAGACTCTTACTGACCAAAAACCACCCCGTTCCTTCTCCTGCACGTCGAGCCGGAGCCCCGGTAACCCGTTAGGTTCTCCGCGACTCCGAATCGGCATCGGCCTTGTTGGGTCCCATCTGTGGTGGTCTGATGGCTCTTTGAGGCGCGCGCGGTACGCGACGCGCCGTATGCTCCGGTCTGTAGCTGGTTGGACGGCGAGCCACCCATGCTCGCCGTCTGCAGGCCCGCGCTTACGGTGGCCGGAGATCGCCTCGCGATATTTCACCGGGACACCATGGCTGCTCAACCAGTCGCCGCTAACAACATAATGTATACAGCTCTATAGAGAGTTAACCACTGCGCTCATTTTTACACTGTCGCAGTGTAGTGTGGCGACTCTGATGTCTGTATGGTCTATTTTGGTAGGTTACGGACATCACGCCATGGTTTTCCAGTGAAATATGTCCCTTATGGAGCGTGTGTAACGCTACAGATTCGTGCATTACATTAGTGAAGGTGAAGAACCGTGAGGCAGTATTGTAATGTAATGGTCAACGTTGAATCTGTAACGTTAGCAAAGCAAATGCATACTGGAAACGTTAGCATGTAATGAAGACTTAGAACCATTTCCAGCAACAACTTTAGTCAACCAAACGCACAAAAATTAGACTCCACAAACTTAGTAAAAAAAATAACTAAACTAACTAACTTCTATTAGGTAAGCTTAAAACTCATTGTACCTAATATACCTACATTATTCTAATGAATTAATCACTTCTTCATACTCTTGCAGGTCCGGTAAATCATCAAGGATGTTCTTCATAGAAAATGCTCTGTCTAGAGCGAAAAATTCAATTGGTTGCGTCATGTACGAGGAGGATATGTTAGAGTCTACCACCACTCTACTACTGTCCTGCACTGGTACAAACAACTTCGGATCTAAACGGTCACCACGTACAATAAGAGTATCAAAGCATGTGCATGCGTTCTGGAAACTAAGATCAGAACACTTAGTACTTATGTTTTTAGTCTTAGAACTAGATACGGAAGTCTCCTCCACCACAGGACTTTCTGTCCTCGCGTCTTGAACGAGTTCTTTCAACTTTACAACTGAACACATTTCGTAATTTGGGATACAATTTGGTGTCGGATACTTCACTCGCCTCATGTATGCAGGTAAGCGATTACCTACGCGTCTCATAATAGACTTCACACAAATACACGATTCGGGCTCTTTATAGTCAAAATAGCTTTCCCATTTATATTTGTGGATGTGATCTATTTGCTTACTAAGATCTTCTGATATCTGTTTCTTCTGGCTTGTTGATACAGAAAGCAGTTTAGTTTTGCTAATCGTTTCTATTTGCTCAATAGCGCTATTTACGGGAGGTACGCACATGCATTCATTTACAGGGCAGAAGCACTTCTCAGTAAGATTTTCTATTTTAACTTTCTGCAATATTTGTAAGAAAGAGCTCTCTAATCGTAATTCCTGTAATTCCGCTAACTGCTGTGACGATGTACTAGGCTTCAGAGGGACAAAATTTTCATAAACAAGATCGTCTCTGAAGTCAGCGTCATCACCACGTTTGCCCTCAATGTAATCTTTAATTTTTCTCGTAAATTGTTCGAAGTTGTCACAGGCTGCATACAGACATTGCTTGTTTATTATAATCGCAGGCAATTGAGAAATATTACTAGAAGTACCGCTATGTTTTGGACACAGATCTTCATGCAGTTGTGCCTTATAACCTTTGTCACAGAACAAGTAAAACGGTTTGAGTGGTGGTACAGGAGTGTGGAACATTTCTTCTTCCGCAAAAATACTTTCAACAGACGGGTCTTCCAATACTTCGTTTACTTGTAGCAACAACAATTTCTCAAGGTTTATGAAGAACTTTGCATATTCAGGAGCTGTTTTAAGACTGTAAGAGACGAACGTTCGAAATGATTTTACAAATTTGCAAATTTTCTTTTGCCATGTACTTATTGAATGCTGGAGCATCTCTTCTTCCTGTCTTACAGCGGAGATTTCATTATCTTTAATCTCAATTTTTTTTTCCATCTTCCGTATTTGTTTTCTGTGCTTAATTCTTAATTCTTCTCTTTCTCGCAAACCCGCTTCCCGTTCTTTTAAAGCGACATACACCTGACAGGCCAAGTTACGACCGTGAATGAATTGTTTTATTAGATTAGCACACGCATGTTTATCAACCTTCACATCATGTATTTTGTTGCCCATGTTACACCGCTCAATTTCAACTTGTTGCACAAATTCTTCTTTTAATTTAGCTTTTTTAGTATTAAGCTTTTCCTCATATTCATCGTAAAGAATTGTGGCCTGTGTTTTAAGTGCGAGCATTAACTTATTGTTCATCAATTCCATTGCGTCATCTTTGCTTTTATCAATTGCAGTTATAGATGCTTCGTTAAAAAGAGTTTCAAATTTGTTAAAGGACATTCTATAAAAATACTCAAAATCGTTGCGAGCATTAATCAACTTTTTCGTAATTTCATGTTGTTCGTCATCCGATAGTTTCTCCTCCATTTGGTGAAACATTTTGCGTAGGAAAGCCATCCAATTATCATCGGCGTCAGCGAGTGTTTCCGCTCTCTCGCGCTCCAGACGCTCAAGATGCTTCTGGTATAAGGCATGCCCATATTTCTCGATACCTTTATGATTAAGTTGTTTAATTACTTGTCTTGTAATTGGTTTTAGCACGGTGCGGCCCTTAAGTAGCTCGGCTGGGTCTACGATCCAATCCGCGCCGCCGCCTTTAAGCAAAGGTTGCAGGCCTACCAGCTCTTGTAGTTTAGGATTCAAAGACTGAAAGAAAATGCCCGCGAGTGGTGTAGACATGTGCTTTATAATCATACTTTGAGTTGGTACCTGGTCTTGTTGTAAGTAATGTAATCTTAAATTATAGTTTTCGCTTAGATTAGCCATTGCGAATATTTTATGGCACGTGTCTTATTATAAACAATGAATTTAAAAAAATATATGTATAAAATCGTTGCCAACAGCAACGCAAACAACCAAACGACACTATTCTTATTTTTCTTTTCTTATCCAAAGAGTATAATAAGTATAAGGAAATTCTTATCTATACTTGTCTTCAAAGAGTAAATAATAGCTAATGACAATAAGACACAGGCGTAAAATAGCTAAGCTATAGGAGAACTTATCTTTCAAAACTTTCAAAAATACAAATATTGTTAAAAATAAAAATAGATTTTAGTCATGTAGGTAAATGATTTGTTATCATCACGCGAGCCGCCCCTGCTTCGTATGGGAGAATTATTTTTTTTGTTTCACAAGAACCTTCTCTAGACTCTTAACACGAGAAGAAAAAAAATAAGCGCAACCAGTCCACACGTAATGCCATTCAAAGAGTATAATAAGAATAGGGGTATGCCATTACACTGACACCTAATAACGGGTTAAGTTTTGATCTACAATCGCTTAAACTTTAGGGAACTATTATCCAAGTCACTCGTATTATGATGTCAAGTAGTAAAATACAAGAGTACCAAGTCAAAATACTTTTTATTTATTACAAAATTATAAATACTTTCACTTAATTATTAAATTCAGTTCTTCTTACAACTAGGTAACTTCACCGACAGCCATCTGTTGCAACAGCGTCATCACGTGACAGAACCTCTCCTTGATCTCCGTGGCGGAGCGGTGTGGGAGCAACTCTCTGATGCGCCCGAACACTTGCTCCGAAACAGCCTCTCCTTTTAGGATTTGTAACATCGTTTTATCTTCTTCTCGAGTCCAACTACTCATCTCATTTTTCTCAATTTTCTTAGGCTCTATAGTGACTACGGTCTCCAACTTTGCCTGCTTGGCCTTAGAACCCTCATCTTTCTTCTGGCACGTGTGACTCTTACTGTCTTTCCTCTCTCTCTTCTGCAAGTTCTCACTTTTGTTCTCCGGCTCCTTCTTACACGCCTTACTTTTATTATTACTTTGAGACTTTTTGGTAGGTTTAGGGCTCAATAAGTTAACTGTACAGTCTTTGTGTTTTGTGTTGTCGTTGACGTCTTTGACACTTTTCGTGGGGGATTTGAGTTGTTTTTTAGGCTTTTTAGGTGGGATTTTGCAGTTCGTTTTAGCGTTCCGTTTGGGGGAGGATCGTTCGTCGTCGGAGTCTGGTGGGGAGAGTAGAGTATGTGTGGGCGCGAGTCGGCGCGCGTGCACCCGGTAGGGCTCCTTGCTGTACGGGTACGACACGCTGGCGCCGCGCAGCAGGCGGCCGTGCTGCAGGAACACGCGCCCGTGCAGGTACTGAGGGAATAGTACTTCAACATTAGGTTGTATTCGTAGCAAACTAATATTTATCGGAATGTATGATAACAAATTTTCGAAACTTCTAATTGATAAAATACTTTTATATCAATTCTTCAAATTACAATAAATGCTCAAACACATATGAAATGGAACTACATGCTAACGAACTTCAATCGCAAAAAAAATGAAATACTAATAACGAAAATAAAAAAGCCCAAGAACTGACATCAAATGCAAGTAAAGTTTTATCTAAAAAATCTACATCGATTTAAATTAGAGCTCCTATTGTACAGTCATTTATCGACTTTTGGAGGCCTCTAGATCTCTTTCCAAACATTTATAATATGGGTATATTGACCTACATGACCCCACGCCTGTCTCCAATGGTGGTAGGCAGAGACTATGGAACGCCAATTGCTACGATTCACATACACATGACATCCAGACCCGAAACAATTTGTGGATCACACAAAGAGTTGTTCCGTGCGGGAATCGAACCCGCGACCGGTTGCCTAGCCACCGCACCAACCTTGCGTGCGTAATATGAAAAGGTATAACTCACCACTGTATCCAAAGACTCCTTGACTTCAAGCTTCCTCCTCCTGCTGTCGGTTTCATCGTCGAACTCCCACACGTCGTACCCCTTGTCGCTGGTTAGGAAGCTCTCGTCTATGAGATCCGTTCCCGACTCGTACAAACTGGAAGAACAAGGTACTAATTAGAACATGATATATAAGAAGTATAGAGAGGGTATAGAAGAATTAATATATTATCACCAATATCGTAAGTTCATTTCCGAATTAACTCGGATAGAAAATCCCAACGAACAATCGTTGGGCAAAAAGTCCGTCAAACATTAACACCTCACCTGTGTGCTTACTCTTGAAACCAATCTCAATGTCAATGCAATTTCAATCCAATAAAATCTCAATAATTAATCAATGTCAAAACTATACAAACCCTATCGTAGCTGTTGAAATAGCATTCAGAGTACAGAATATAAAGCTAAACTCAATACCATTTAGTTCATTCAATATCCATGCAATACTGGACGCAATGGGCGCTAGTGTTGCAAATCGAGAGTACGAAATTTCACAATACCAATGTCGATCGATCGGAATTGGATTCAAGAGTAAGCACCCAGGTCGGAGGATCTTTTCCGATCTTAGGGAACTCTGTGTTCTCGAAATATCTTTTTGCTAAACCGAATAAATAACTAAACAACACAACTCACCTATCCGGTGGCCGTTCATCAGGGAACAGCGACTTGAACATGGTCGCGAGACGCGGATGTGAGCGCAAGTGTGGCAGGACGCGCGCGCGCATCTCCTCACTACTCCCACTCTCACTGGTAATCGCGCGCAGCACCTTGCGCAGGACAGTCGGCTTTCTAGCTAACGTGGTCTGAAAATACAAGGATTTTATGAGAACTGTCGAACTACAAATAAAATATGGAACATAATAACATAACATAACATAACATCACGGCTTTTATCCCAGAAGGGATAGGCAGAGGTGCACATTATACAGTGGTATAATGGCAGAGGTGCACATTATACCACTGTATAATGTGCACCTCTTTTCACTATTTATGTTATGAGTCCCATGTAATAGGGGGTGAGCCTATTGCCATATACCGGGCACAATTCCAGACTCCGTGCTACTACTGAGAATATTAAAAAACCCAGTAATACTTTGCCCGACCCGGGAATCGATCCCGAGACCTCTTGCCCGGCAGCCGCACTTACGACCACTCGGCCAACGAGGCAGAACATAATAAATACAGCAGTATTAGTAGATTGTGTAAAAGAGAACGGAGTTTTTGATGGGGAAGAAGCTTCTGATGAAGCAAAATGAAAAAAATACATTGTGTCAAGCCCAATTAACTTGACAGAAGAGCTGGAAGAATTTGACAAAGAAGGTAGATGAAAGGAGAAATAGTAAGATGAGTAACATTCAGTCCACAACAAATTATATTGTATCTGCTGTACCCCCTACTTAACAACTTACAAACTAAATGAGAGCTATATGCAATCCATTTAGTGAACCTTACATCTAGATGGCAGCACTACCTTTTTATTTCCAAGTGACTGGATCTCAAAACCATGAAAACAATAATAATTATAAACCAGAAAAAAATTAACTACAATTGAAAAATAAATTGCTGGAAGAAAGAAAGATATAGAATCTATATAATATATAAGGGTATGAAAATTAAAAATCTAATTAGACTGTTAGTTAGATAACGAAAAAAATATTAAACACGTATTTTTTTAAGTTTAGGAGTAGGAGGTCCTTCCTTACGTCATATCATGCTACAAAATGTAGCCCGCTGTGACGTCACACGATATCTACTATATAAAAATAAGTCGTTTTTTCCTTCCTGACGTTATAACTCCAGAACGCACGAACCGGTTTCCACAGTTTTGCATTCGTTGGAAAGGCTCCGTGAGGTTTATAATAGCAAAGAAAATTCACTTTTAATCACCAAACGAAATGTTACATAAAACGAAGCCATCTGGTGGCGAAACGGAGTTCGCCGAGTTTGCTAGTTTCAAATAAATATATCAAACGAAAGAAAAGAAAAGAAAGTTTTGTGAGAAAAGAAAAGTACGTGTTTAATGTTCTTAAAATAATCTACCAGACGGACATTAAAATAAAATTTAGGACACTATCCTATTATGCTCATTGATGTCTATTGACAAATAAAATAGTGGTAGAGGGCATACCATTCAGTCGAATTACAAGTTGTAGTAATATAGAATCTTCTTAACTATAGGGTTAACAGAAATGTTCTTTCTCATTACTCTTTGCTATGTATTCATTATTGATTATTCTTTCACGTGCCTAGACAGTGAGTGTTACTAATTATTTAAATGAAGATAATTTGGCCTGACTCCAAATTAGGCACATGATCTCCAATTGAATTAGAATTGACTTATTTTTGTTTTAACATGAGTTTGTCATAGAAATAGATGTATTTTGCCGGAATACTGAAACGTTACTCAATTTTAAGTCGTGCTTAAATATCGTGCCATCTCTGTCATTTCACAAAGAATTAGTGGTGACAGGACTATCCTTACTAATATTATAAATCTGAAAGTGAGTTTGTTTGTTTGTTCCACCTTCACGCCGTAACTACTCCACCGATTGCTTTGAATTTTTGCAGACGTAAAGTTAGAAGTCCGGATTAAATAATAGGGTACTTTTTAACCCGGAAATATTGATGTTCCCGAGGAAAAACAAACAAAAGTATTGGTATAGATGGCGCTGTGTGTATTGGTATAGATGGCGCTGTGTGTATTGTTATATGTCACATAGGCTACTTTTTATTCTTTTATGACGCGAGCGAAGCCGCGGGTAAAAGCTAGTACTTAATAAGCGTGACTTAAAATTGAGTCACGTTTCAGTATTCGGGCAATTGTCATGGAAGTCCTAAACTTTTAATACCTAATTGTTTAGCACTTTAATAACACAACAAGTACTTAGGACAAAATACCATGATACCAATTAATGGTACCTAGTTTTTTATATAAAATCTACATGAAACTGATGGATTCGATTTCAATAATGTATGATATGAATATTTATTATTAGGTATTTTTATGTTGATGTTTCTATTTGATGACTAATAATATTTACCTATTTTTTGCCTTTTAGTTTTGACATTTTGCTTGTTTTTAGGTTCTGGTTTTTATTTACATTCATTAGTTTAAGTTCATCTATAACATTAAAATGTGCGATCATTTTATGAAGTAGGTAAGCAATCCTGTGATATGGTTTTAAAGGTATTATTTATTTAGATCAACAGAATTCGAACATTTCCGCATAGAGTCATGTGTTATTCGGGACGCTTCGGATGACGTCATTGACCATTAGTAGTTACCAACTTATCACTGATAGCAGTGATACACATATACTCGGGTAAGTGTGCTTAAATTATGTTTAAATTATTAATGAATTTAAAACAACGTCTGTTGTTATCTTAACAAGTGGCACAATCTATTTAGGTGTCATATTCGAACTACTCATTTGAATTGATCCAAAATTTCAAAGTCTTTGAGGTTAAAATCAAATATTTCAACCAGAAAAGGCCAAAAAGTCTCGCAAAATAAGGAACTTCTTATCTTATGAAAATATATCTTTAGAATAGTAAATAATAAACTAGATTCAGTAATCAAAATTCTAGTGTCAGATACCTACTCTGAAATTAATCACATGGTTTTTGTTTAGGTTTCATTATGGATGAAACGATCTTTCCGAACGAAATATGGTTGGAAATATTCAAAAACATAGACAGACCGCAGTTGATGGAGCTAAGATTGGTATGTCATCACTTCTACGACCTGATAGAACACCTCTTAAACAGAGACCCAGCGTGGATACAGTTAACTAGGGCTACGATATTATACGAGTGCCTGGAGATGACAATGCAGCGGGCATATCCCTATGAGTTGGTGTCCCATTGGAAGGATATCCACGATCCCATACTGTGGCGAGGAACATATTTATCTTATAAAAAATGGCAGAAAGTTTTAGTCAATTCGTACAAAAAGGACACAATCGACGCAACGGCAAGTTATGGGAATATTTCGTGTATGTGTACCTTCGATAAGTACATAGCAATTGCTTTTGATACCGGTTTGATTGCGAATTACTCTATTGATGACCTAAGTAAGCCGTTTTACGTAGCAAACCATGGAATTGATATAATGCAGGTCGAATTTTGGTATTCTGACGGCAATGTTATGGTTGTATCTCTTGGTGATGACTGTTGCTTAAAGTTTTGGGACCTACAGAACAGAAATGAGGTATCTAGTGGTAGTTACTTCGCCAACAGCATCAGCTTTGGCGAATGCCGACATTTCTGCATAACCGATATGGGAGGAATCCTGACCTCGTATGAGAGAGTTGATAACCATGTAATACCTGGGACTACACTAGACTTAGTCCTCAGTGAGAACCAACATCTTATTGCGCATGTTGTTGACGGAAAGTATATGACAGCAATGGTATGGGAGGAAGGTGGTACTGTGCAGTTCCTGGGCGAAGTAGGGATTGAGGGCGGAAAGTTGATCAAGTTCGAATGCTTCCTGGTCAAAGATTGGAATCGATTGCCGAAAAGTTTAGGTGCTTCATTACAAAGGTTGACGATGCCAACAGCTATATTCTTTTTTGGAATTGGTGAAAACTGTATTGGATCGACTAATTACTACGAAGATGTTTGGCACGAGTACAAGTTGGAACACTACTTTGGATGCAATGTCAAGTCAATAGCACTACACGCTCAAATTCTGATGTTTGGTCTGGAAGATGGGTCCATCCATTTGCTTCATATTCCTCACTATGGCCATGTAAGGAAGTTGAAAAAGAGGATAAAGCAATCAAAGAAAATTCAGGTTGATACACAGCCAATAGTTGATATAACCATTCTGGAAGTTGACAAGAAACCTTGCATTGTTGCAGTCACTAATCAAAAAGTTCATTTGATTCATTTCTTTTAGATTATATTGTTAACTTTTTTATTAATAATAAATGGTATTTTAAAGTAAAAAACGGCATTTAAAAAAACCGACTTCGAAAACCAAAACCTAAAAACAAGCAAAAGGTCAAAACTAAAAAGCAAAAAATAACTATTATTAGTCATACATATAGGTTACCCACCCACTGATAGGTAAGAAGTTGGTGCGGTGTGTTAAGCTCTCATCATTACAAATTATTCAAGCTCAAACATCAGGTAAACGGTTAATAGTAGCTATTAATCGTTTATAAACACCCAAACAGCTATCATACTACTTCATCATCGCAATGACAAGCACACCCCATTTAGGTGTAAAGTTCTCATCAAAACCAATTTATAAAGCCCACACACCAGGTAGCTACTGTCAGCCGTTGAGGTGTTCCCCTAGCTATCATACTACTTCACCATCAGTCCCCTAATGACAATTACATCCAATCTAGATCTTCTAGATCTTCTAAATACAAATAATTTAAGGGGTAACATGGGGTCATTGCTACAAATTCTCAAGGAGTTCCCTCGGCTGTCTCTTGACTCCATCATCAGATCAACTCCATAACCTTCATCAAATTGTAGTAGTTTCAAATACTATATCAAAAAATTAACAAACGCTTTCGCCACCCATCATTTTTGAAAAGTTCCCCTTAGTTTCCATGGGATCCCATCATTAGATCCTGACCTGGTGGAAATGCGCCCACCCCGAGAGTATGACCTTTCCAACAAAAAAAGAATCATCAAAATCTGTCAACAAACATATAATAATACTGAATAATGGCGTAATATACAAAAAAAAAGAGCCGAATAGATAATGGTGCTCCTTTTTGGGAAGTCGGTTAAAAAGGAAAATGGATCGCAAAATTTCTACTAAACTACAAATCATATTACGGCATTCTTATTACTAAATGAATAGGCACAGTTTTCGCTTGGCATTATCGTGATGTTACTTATAATACTTACTTGCAACAGTTCTATGAAACCAGTCATTTGCACTAACATGAAATGGTCCATGAACCGACCAACTTCAGCAGCTTGACCTGGCTTCAGAAACAGGAGAAACTCTTCCACAATATCCTTATGCTCTTCACCAAATATCTCCTCAATTTTCTTATACAAATCAACTGGTGTTTCCTTAGCGGGATCAAATGTCTTCAATATATTTTGAAACTGTACAAACTTATTGGTAGGCACCGATGGATTGGAGGAAAATCTTGTTTGTACTTTTGTGTAGTAGGATTTAACCAGAGCTGAAAAGGGATTATTGGATGAAGAATAAGGTTTATTGAAGCTAGTATATTCACTTGATCATATTCCTATTTAACAAATTCTTAAACATGTCCCGTTTCAATCAAAATTGTTCTAAATATCATTTGTAAAAGATATGAATATACACAGCTGCCATTTGATGTGTCATACTTTTACAAAAAAAATTGAAAATAGTAAGGTTATTTATTTTAAGAATAGCATTCGAAATGCATCATTATGTTGCATGATTATTCTACAATGATGAGTTGGAAGTATGGCAGAATCTTGATAGTATGAAAACAGTTAGTCTAAGTTTACAGTAATTAATCTTTTGACCTAAATACTCAAATGACAAACACTATACAAATGTATAATAAGTTTTGTGACCCAAATTTCACTTTTAAATATAACATGGTATTTATATTTCACATTACATAAGAGTAAATGCTGCTAAATGGATTGTCAATTAGTGCAATGTTTACCTGACTCTATAGCATTGCTGTCAGGTTTAGGCGGTTCAACTTTTTTCTTGGTATTTGATTTGCCCTTAGGTTCCTTCTGTGCTGCTTTAGTAACCTCCTGCGCAACCTTCGGTGGCGGCGGCTGAAACAATAACAACATAAGGTCATGTAAATAGATCACGTATCTTAAAAACATGGCGACACATTTTATATTGTCCTTCGTGCTCATATTACATCGCCTGTTAAAAGACCACGCTATCAATAAATATATAGAATTTCACACGCTAACTCTTTTGAAGGTATTGAAACTAGCTCAGAACCACGTAAATGGAGTTATCTCACAAGAAATTACATAAAATCATCAACTACGTTTCATCACTTACCTCGGGCTGAATAATGGGTTTAGGGAAATTATTTTGATTGAAAAAGCTTGTGCTCGGTTCAATTTTGTTTCCAAAAGCATCCTGACTCTCTCTCGTAAACAGAATGGGCATAGAAGGCAGCATCTGGAAGATCTAGGATCCACCCGTGCAACGAAGTCTCAACTGCACAGCACCAACGAATACGTAGAATATTTACATGATAACAGCACTTAGACTCAATACAACATAAACACTTTATAAACTTTACTATAAACAAATAGATTTTTAAGAATTATCTGATGTATAACACATTATTGTTTTGATTTTATCCAAACAACACAAGCCATCGAAAGAATGGAAACATTTTTGACAGATCGAGGACGCGAAATCGGGCGGGCGGAGCGCGCGCACGTTTCATTTTATGAACTTGCTTCCAAACTTTATAATTATTTTTAAATTTATTTTTTTAATATATATTATTAAATAAAAGTTTCAGGTATAAACATAACTTCAATGTTCCCCTTTTAACAAAATTAATTAATATTTGGTTGGTAAATGGAAACGTAACTAGTTCACTATAAAAAAAGTTTAAAGGTGATCGTTTTGATCTTTCACACTTTAGTTGGTTGCACGTCAGAAAACTTTTCTTTTTTAATCTTTTATAGCGGATTTTTTTATAACTATTTCATAATTAATTTGGGTATTAGGTAGGTATAGATAATCCCTGTATTTAACTATTATTTTTGATATTTATTGTACAAAAACCCGAACCAAAAACAGAAATGAAAAATCGTCCTGAAGTCCATCACAATCTTTTTATTTTTATTTAGTTTATTTTTAGATGTTTGAATATTTTAGTGCCTAAGAGTATTTAGGTCAAAGGCAGTCAAACCTGATTTGATCAAAATTCTAGCTAAAACAAGTTTCGACACTCTGAATAGTAAAATTTAAATTTCTTAATATTAAGAATTCAGGTGGCTAGTAGAAATTAAGCTTCAGGTTCCGTTACTTAAATTCAAATTTAACTAGCTAGACAGGTGTATTTATGCGTGGAGTGGAATAAAGGTACTATAATATATTTTATTACCACCCCGGAGTATTATTCCCATGGATCTCTTTCTCGTGATTATGTTTTATCGATTCGATAAAACATAATCACATATTGTATTGTAGTCTATAAGGTTTAAACCTTAGAGACTGCGACTTCTAACCCAGCTGTGATGACATTATGACAAACCCTCGACATCTTCGTATGTACCCAGAAATGCAGAAATCTATTAGATTTTTTTAAGGGAGGAAAATCATCGAATCATCGAACATCGAACCATCGCACCCGCCTGGTTAAGGCGGGAGGGAGTGTCAGACTCTTACTAACTAAAGACCAACCCGTTCCTTCTCCTGCGCTTCGAGCCGGAGCTCTGGTAACCCGTTAGGTTCTCCGCCACGTCTATTAGGTTTAGGCCTGCTTTGAATGGACTTTCACGAATATTGAGGATAAAAAAATAATTAGGCAAATGCCTTGTAGTTGTTATATCAAGGTATAGGTAATTGTAACTAGTTTAACTGCCTCGTTGGCCGAGTGGTCGCAAGCGCGACTGCCCCAGGCAAGTGGTATCGGGTTTGGTTCCCGGGTAGCGCAAAATATTACTAAACTTTTAAAAAAAATTCAGTAGTAGCACGGAGTCTGGAATCGTGCCCTGTATATGGCAAAAGGCTCCCCCTTATTACATGGGACTCATAACATAAATAGTGACAAGTGAATGTTACATTGTACAGTGGCACCTCTATGTTAACTAGTTTAACTAATTATTTAAAAGGGAAAAACAAACAAAATAAAAATACAAAATTGCTATTTCGATTGGAGAACGAATCGAGTCAAATTAAGGACATTCTACATAAAATATCTACAAATTAAATATAGGTATTTATTTGTAATATTGATAGCTAGGTCACTACCGTCTTTACCATAAGGACACTCGGGGCCCGTGCCCAGGCCCCCAATCCTCAGGGGCCCCCAACGACCGACAAGTCACACACCCACTACAGGTTGCGCGGCAACCGACTGCCCCGGAACTAGTAGCTGCCACAAATATTTGTGTGCTCCACAAATTATTGTTTCGGGTCTGGGTGTCATGTGTATGTGAACTTGTATGTGTGTAAACACACCCACGATATAGGACAAAAAATAGTGTTGGGCAAGGTTAAACAAAGAAACATTCCACAAGGGCCCCGAGTTATTGTGTGCCCAAGGGGTCCTAGCGTAGTCTAAGACGGCCCTGGGTAGGTCATTCCTTTTTTATTGAGATGATGCCTTTCTTCCGTCTCAGCTGTGGGACAGGGACAGTTACAGGCTGGTAATGATGATGATAATGAACCAGTACTGAGTACAATTTGAGCCTATATATAATTTTTTGCCCCGAGCGTACGGCGCGTCGCATTCCACGGAGCCGTCAGACCACCACGGATGGGGCCAATTACGGCTGATGCCGATACGGAACCGCAGAGAACTTAACGGGTTACCGGGGCTCCGGCTCGAAGTGCAGGAGTAGGAACGGGGTGGTTTTTAGTCAGTAAGACTCTGACACTCCCTCCCGCCTCACCCAGGCGGGAGAAGTCATTAGGTAGATGATTTTCTCCCCTTAAACAAATACAATTTTTTGCGTTCCTAAATCGAATACACCCTCTCACGATATTTAATTCTCTAAATATAATAGTTATACCTTAATAATAACGAAAGTGTGCATGACAATTGACATGACAACATGAGCCTCTATCATGGCTTGAAACTAGTCGAGTTCCTCGTTAAACAGTTACGTGATTAAGCCGAAAATAATAATAAATTTATTATGTGTCACGAAACTCACTCTCCCCCTATTATATGGGACTCATAACATAAATAGTGAAAAGTGGGTGTTACATTGTACCTTGTACTGCCTCCCCCTTCGGTGATGCTATGTTATGTTGTGTCTGTTTCCATCTGCTCGTTTACCGGCTTACCACATAAAAAAGCCAAGTAACTTACATGGTCTAAGTACTAGCAATCAGTCAGCTGTGGTGGTTCCCAAGTCAGGCTTTAATTAATTATTCAACAAAAAGGTTGGGATTGAATTAATAATATCTCAACTACCTAGGAAAGTAGGTCCTACTTCTAACTCACTTAGATCGATATCAGATCATTTAAAATTCAGATCTAGATCGATAGTAGTGATAGATAGGGTGATAGACCTATGACTGGGGAATTGGTGATAGTTTCACATGGAAAATGCGTTCAATAAAACTCTACAAAATACGTACCTAATCGAATTATGTACCTACTTAAAACCGTAAAACAAAACTTCGTTCACCTAAATAAGTTGTTGACCTATGTGTTAAGTAATTTAGATAATATCGGGTTGGTTACTACCTAAGTAATTACTACGAAAGGATTACAGTAAAGTAACCGTAACAGCTACACGTTGCGTGGTCATTAACGCCCGTTTTATGTTTCGTTTCGACAACGTATCGTAAACACGTAGTACGTAAATTAGACCTTCAAAACTAAATCGTATTGTCAGCAGACTTTCAATTTCCAAGTACATAGGTACGTCATTGTTACTGAAACTATAGTCAATTGTTGTTGTACCATCCGTCGTCAGGTAACGCCATCGATTTTATTTATTCTTTGGCTGACCGTGGTGACTTCCACAGCTCGGAAAAAATCGGAAAATTTTGCATTGTAGTGTTCGTTTTTCAAATTTATTTGTGTACTATGGTTATTTGCAGTTGATAGTGTTTCATCAACAGATAATTAAATAAAAATGGCGGCCATTCTGCCTACTGGATTGCGAAATGGGGTGAGATTTTCATTATTTATTTATGAACGCACTGTTGTCTTCGTGTTTTCGTACTTGCGTGTTGCATGATGTATCATAGACTTATTTTACGAATTGTCTATTAAAGTTTTTACAGGTATTATTAAGTGTAATAAGGTATGTATTTTTAGCTCATAAATGCTCAAAATTAGTAGATTTTGAAAGTTATTTTACCTGTATTGAGCTATACTGATTTACATAAATACATTTTGAAGCAGAAATTAATGTGAATGCTAGGTACAAATACAATCATTCAACTTGATGTTAATATGGGGTCGGAAACCTAAATCATTGGTGTGACATACCTAAACAAGTTCACTCGAGCGAAACCACAGCCGCAATACTATATTGCAAACTAGGATCAATTAATTAAAAACAATTAATTAATACTAGGTACCTATCAGTAATATAATTAGGCATATTTGATATAAAATATTGTGGCTGAATAACCTTGCAGAAAGGATGCGTAAGTCAGTAGAAACAAGGCATTTCCGCTGGTCGTTTGGTCTTTGGCTACCGACCTTACCTACTTTGTTTTAATTAATTAACTCAGTACGTGTGTACTTGATTATTTTTATGGAATTTGAGGAATTAGTGCGTTATACTTTATAGTATAGGTATCATTATAGTCATAAAACCAAGGCGTTATATATTTCAAATAATTATAAAAAGAAAAAAAAACAAAACAGAAAAAAGTCCTTAAATGACAAACTGTAAACATAGTAGAAAAATATAAAACAAACAATTAGAATAATCAGATTAAAGATGTCTAAAGGGCCTCTGCGCAGTTGGCTTCGGCCTCGTACGCCTCCCAAATGACCGGGACCCTGTGGTCTCGTGATTAGTAAAGAATATCATAGGCCGTACGATAGATGTACAGACAGTCAGCCAAGTTATTCAGTAATAAAGTAGGAAAATAAAAATTGATATAGTACAGAGAGATATTAAAGGAATACATTGATAGAAGCCTGCAGCATATTTTGGTTTAGCATATTTAGGAACTGAGGTGGTAGGTGGCTGCCTCGTTAGCCGAGTGTTCGCAAGTTCGACTGCCGGGCAAGGGTCTCGGGTTCGATTCCTGGATCGGGCAAAGTATTACTGGGTTTTTAAAATAATTTTCAGTAGTATCACGAAGTCTGGAATTTTGCCCGGTATATGACAATAGGCTCACATGAGACTTATAACATAAATAGTGAAAAGGGGATGTTACATTGTGCAGTGGCATTAAATGCCGTAATGTGCACGTCTGCCTATTCCTTTGGGGATAAAAGGCGTGATGTTATATTATGTTATATCATATTTAGGTTTCTCCATATTATTGAATAAAGATCCTTGTGCATACAATTTAGATGTACATGTATATGTAGACAAATAACTGAAACCATATCGCCCTGTGTTCACTTCAATCCTTTGTGATCACAAAACGTGTAAAGCAGTGGTCCGTGAAAATGAACTGTATTTGACGTAGCGACTCATTTCAGTGTCACTTTTCAAGGCCAATGCAAAGGAGTTGGACCATATTATTATTAAAATATCTGAAACTAGCTATTATCGCGACTTCATCCGCTTAAAATGATAACTTCTGGCAAAAATTGGGCTTTTGCATTAGTGTTTACTAAAATATATTCTACAGTTGTAACAAATGTCATCAGAATCGATTCAGTACCTAGTCTGAAATAACACACACTGAAATTAAAACTATAAAACCAGACAATCGTATAATTCGGTAGGTAAACAAGAAATCGAAATTCAGGAATCGATTTTCCTTTACCGATTTCCGATCTGATTGATTACAAACTGATGATCGGCATCCTAAGTACCAACTATTTAGTAGGTACTTATTGCTGCTGGATGCGTTTCTAAGGAGATTTAAGTACCTTATTGATCAAATGTTGATATCGACCTTGTGTAGAGGAAATGAGGAATGAACTACGGTTTCTTACGTACAATGCTGAATCGACGAGCAGTCTGTATTCATCCACACGCGATCTCAGTAGCATAACAAAATTGATCGGTTTGTGATAAGTTATTTTTTATTTAAAAAAATGGAAGAGGGCAGCAAAGAGAACCCTGCCTGTGATCGAGAGAACTGTGATGAGATCGTGACTAAAGAACAGGATGCACCCACTGACATCGTTTGTGATGAAGTAATTTTATTTCTGTATTTTCTCCTTTTCTGATGTGGTTTTTAGTCGATTTTTAAATTACGTTTATGATTTTTTCTAAACCATTGCCCCACACTAGTTTCTTCTCCTACATAGAGCAACTCCGGTCCGCCGGTGGCCTGTGTTGCTCTATGTTCTCCTATATCGTGGGTGCGTTTACGAATCGTACCCGGGACATATTGCAAACCAGACTTATTATACTCTTTGCCAGTCACTGTGCAAACCGTCAACCGTGTAACAGTTAAATGTCTATCTTTGGTTAAGTAGTTTTCCATTAATTATTTGATTAATATTAGAGTTTCAGATTGTATCCGTAAAGACACATAAACGATTGTATATAATCTACTGCCTGTTCGATTTCTCGTAGAGTTTCAACTCTCAAAAAATCGAATACTCGTACTGGCTATGATTACCTATTATTTATTAGATTAAGCCATAGACTAGTTAATGACTTTGACCTTTAAATAATTAAACTAGGAACCTATTTAGGTAGGTATTGTGGATGAGGATGATAGATACACGAATAATTATTTATTTGTTCGTAATGAAGCTTAATAAAAACTTACCTACGAAAACCTTTTTTAAGCCTAAGTCTTTAGCTGCCGATAAAAACTATTAAAGGGTTAATCCTCCGCTAGCGTCGGACATCATTGTCCAACACGGCATCCAATGTGATCCTTACTAATAATATTATAAATCGGAAAGTGAGTTTGTTTGTTTGTTTGTTTGTTCCGCTTTCACGTCGTAACTACTAAACCGATTGCTTTGAATTTTTACAGACGTAAAGTTAGAAGTCCGGATTAAATAACAGGGTACCTTTTATCTCAAAAAGTATTGGAATTCCCGAGGGAAAACAAAAGTATTGGCGCTGTGTGTATTAGTATATGTCACATATGCTACTTTTTATCCTTTTGTGACGCAAGCGAAGCCGCGGGTAAAAGCTAGTAATTAATAAATAACAATTTCAACTCTGACCATTGAATGTTTTTTTCAGATCAAAGGGCTGGATGCGAACAGATATGCGACGAAGAAGACGGTGGCGCAGGGCATGCTGGACATTGCTCTGCTGACATCCAACGCGTCGCAGCTGAAGTACGTCCTACAAGTTGGTCCCAAGCACGAGTTCTACACCCTACTAGTCGTCCTCATCTCTATATCTATCGTTCTTCAGGTGAGAATAGAAGAAAATGCATTTTTTATTTTTCTCGTAGATTTTAATTCGGTGAGTTGGCGAGTCTCCGCCTGCCATTTTTACGTGTATTAATTACATTGTTTCGGCAGGTGCCATAGTCATCCATAGTTCCCAATTTACCGATCCACAACAACCCATCCATAGCCCTACCTTTTTCCATTATTTACAATAGTTCTACACTAACCGGGGACTGTCCTTGGGTGCATTTCCATAGTGCATACAGTGATAGTCGCCGGTTTGTGTATCCAGTACATTTATATTTAAGTTGTCTATAGGGCCTCTGCGCAGTTGGCTTCGGCCCCTCGTACGCCTCCCAAATGACCGGGACCCTGTGGTCCCGTGAATGGTAGAGACGTACATAATAATAATTTTATTATTGAGATGCTTCAATAAACCTGGGTCCTGGATGGAACCGTTGTGCAATATGTGCAAGTCAAAATAGAAACGGTGTATTCTTAAAAACTATCTTCATAGATATCTTCAAATTAAGAGTGAGTAGTTTACTAATAAGCAGGTCGTATACAATATCAACTGCAGCATCGATTACACACCGTATCAAGCAAGAATGAATTAAAACATTGCCCTTTATAGGTAACGAAAAATACCCTCAGAATAGATTAGGTCTCGTATTTTCGTTCGAACTTTTCAAGCAGTATCCAGGTGTTTAGGTGGCGATGGGGTTCGTGCTGCTCTCCCTGAACTTGTGGCGAGATTGCTGGTTCCACAGGCCGCGGCACCGGACCTCCGCCCTGAACATCAATTATGGGACCACCGCCACAGCCTTTATTGTCACTGTACTAAACGTCCTCGTGTCTGCCTTCGACTCCTCACTTGCTAGATACCAAGACTTAGATTATAACGTAGGCTGATACACGTACAAGAATTTATGGTAGTTTTTAATTTTATTGTAGTTAACAGTTTTTACAGCGATCTTTCTATTAATTAGTGACGTACTAAATGGGGATGATGACAGGGTATGAAAATTAAAAATATAATTAGTCCGTAAGTTAGGTAATGAAAAAATATTAGACACGTATTTTTTTATTTTGTCGTATAATAAAACAATACTTAGATAAAACGAATCAAAGTTTAGGAGTGGGGGCTAAAACGTCATTCCTTAGTATAAAATGTACTGAGAAGTGACGTCACGCGACATTTCAAATTAATATATCTTCGAAACTATTCGTTTCTGTGAGAAAATAAAAAATACGTGTCTAATGTTTTTAAATAATCTATCAGACGGACATTTAAATAAAAATTAGTCGTCTACCCCATTGTTATGAAATAAAACCTTGAACCTACCTTTAGAAGGCACTGTACTCTGTCAGCTTAGTAATAAGAGTAATATGCAGGTATGGTGTAATATTTTTCGTATCCAAATCTTATCGATTAAGATTTCTAGATGAGAATGGTGCTCGATATTTCTGAATCTAAAGCCCGATTTGGATTTTCCTACACCTACAACCATGCCATTGACTTCAACCCGCATGAAACAGTTTTACAAGTATAGTAATCCATTAAATGGTATTTTCACAAAAGACCCAGTTCTATTGAGCAATGCCTTGTTACCATAATAATACCTAAGTATAAGTACATAATACATCGAGGTTTTAGAACGGAAACAACTGGATGTTACCTTCAGTTTGATTTTTATAAACAGAAAGTTTACGCGTATATAAAAGGAATGATTAGGTACTCAGGTATTTTCGTGGATTGAATGATTTGTGATGTTTTTATCAGAATTTGGAAATGTTCTGGTAGAAGTAGGAAGTACTTAGGTAATCTTATAAAGAAACACTTATCTACTTGTAGGTACTTAGGTATGCTAATATTAAATACCTACCAAAGTTTTACTATTTATTGCCTTTTAATTAAGTTTGATATATTTAACAATGGATTGATATTTCATGAAAACCACGAGCATTTTATCGCATTTTCAAAAACAGTACAAAAATCCTCTTTTGTTTTAGCTTCTCGTCGGATTACTATTCGTGATAATCGGAGGCTTGGACCTGAACGATCATGAGGATCAACCGTCAGCAGTCATACTAAATGACGTCATTGTCATATTTATATTCGTCATATCCGTTATAAACATCGTCATTTCCGCTTTCGGCATAGAGTATTCGAATAATCCCTTAGTTTTGGAAAGATTAAATTATATTAATGACCAATACCTACGAAAGGGTAATTTTACTGGACATTAGTAGGTAATTGTATATTTAGAATAGTTCGGTGCTATCTGTTATTATGGTCCTTAGGGAATTATTTAATTAACATGCAACAGACAATACCTACATAGTCAGTAGTCACATTCAGTATTTGTCTGAAATATTCACGATATGTCATCCTAGAGATGAACGGTTATAATAGCATTCTTATTTTTGTACGTAATTATTCTTTTTATTATCTTTTTTACTTATTTAATTAGCGATTTAGTTTATTTTCGACTGCGGAAACGAGTCTTTAGTCTTTTATTAAATTTTATTCATTGTTTTATTTAATTCACAAAATAATAAAGAATGATAATAATACTATACTTATTTAGCCAAAATGCGGATAATAATCAACATTGCTGAAATTATAATAAGGAAATAATACTACTTAAATAGTTTGCGACCGACAATAGGTACGTTGAAATTAATTTTGAAAAAGTGTATCTATTATTTTATTTACCTACTTATTTATTTTGCTTCATTGTCTAAGTACTAGTTAAACAGAAAAATAAGTTAGTTACTAAAAGCTATCAAATCAATATGTTATCAAATCAAAATATGAATATATAGATATTTTGTATATTGCAACACCTTTACCTAGCTACTCTTTGTGTGTATTTTTACGATTTTCAGATCCAGTTCTAATCATGTAGGTACTAAGGTCTAACCTTTAAAATATTTCATTATCTTATTGCATTAGTTGCGTGCAAGATACACTAAATAGGTAATCTAGTCACTCCATACTAAGTGCTCACAATTTAGATGTCGCAATTAGAATTTTGGAGCATAATGTATCAAATATATTTATTTTCTTACTTTTTATTTGCTAATAAAATATTTTTGCTTACGCAGGCAAGCGCGGGAGTCCTGGCCCTAATCATATCCTCTTTGGACGGTGAAGCCGACCATAAACACAAGAAGCTAGCTGATTGGTTGTACCACACGTCAGTCGGTATGATGACCGGGGTAGTGTTTTGTGACGTCATTAAAATGACATTTGGCCTAGACCCCGCGCTTTCCCTGCAAGATTACCTTGGGAATAAAACCTCAAGTTTATACGATACCTTCTTTAGGGTGCAAAATACTACTCGTTAGTTTAATCCTCGGAACAATAACTAAAGCATGGAAGCCAGGCTAAAATAACAACTACAATCCATATATTCATCTTTTTTTTACCTATGGTATTGATAGTGTATAAGAAAGAGACAAGTGTATTGTTTCGTTTCGTTATTATGCAGGTTGTCACTACTTGTAAATATGCTAGTGATGGGAATAAATTAATATATTTTATCGACAAATTATGGTACCTGAAAGTATTGCTGCTGTGATTTAACGTACATTAGGTTCTTATTCTGGATGTCGTGGGTTCAAAAATAAAACACAATATTAAAAAGATAATTTAATTGCTCACAAACAAAGCATATTTACAAACCGTGGTAGTGGTGTACTATTATGTGTTTATCATTGACTTTTAAATATAATTGTCTTTGTTAAATATGTGCGATTTTTTTCGGTACAGTTAAATTTTTAGTTACATAATGTATCCTAAGTTTAAAATATTTTTGTGATATGGACTTTATAAGATTTCTGTGATCATCATAGAAAGATTGTTCTAATGAATAATCTTTTTTTCACGAAAATTTTTTGACGGCAACACATTTGCTGAAACTTTATTAATCAATCTAATAATTATTTTGGTTTACCGAGAGATTTTGAATCAATATGCACTTGATATTCTCTTATAATTTTTTCGGACAGTTGACAGATCTTGGTTAAGCCATATGTTGGTTTAAATAGGCCTCCTCTATATTTAAAGATATGAAATATCTTTAAGGAATACTCTCCGTATTTCTAGGCATTTTTCGCATTGTAAAAATTTTTTAATTTCGTTCCGATAAAGCCGATTATGTATTCTATGACATTCTTAGAATATTCCGTAATAGATGATGGGTACAAAATGTAGTCGTGTTCTGTCAAATCATCAAAAGTATCATGTGACTCGGGCTCTAAACGACGTCTATACTATAAAGAACTTCAAAGCCTAACTAAAATATCGATATGTAACATGACCACATCACTAGCTTAAAAACTAACTTAGAAAATTGATTTAGATTTTTTAGGAAAAGATGGAATAATACTGTTTAGGCTTACAATTGAAAAGTACGACAATAAATAAGTAACATTTATTTATAGTTTACCAGTATTTCCAGTATAATTTATTTTAAAACATATCAAAAAGTTACGAATGAAAGTGAATTTTTTCACCAGTTTTCTTTTCTTCCTAAATGTGAATTGCAGCCGTCAATCACACAAGACGTATTTTTATTAAGTAAAACACATAATAAAGAACGATCATACACTTTCTTTCTTGCTTTCTTTTGCGCTAATTCCTTAGAAAATATTTTTTATTATCAGGAGCCGTAAATACAACCACGGTGACACTTCAGTACTATAATCCGGCAAAGTGAGGAAGGTGTCAAACTTGAGTGAAACTGTGAAACATAGAACGTCAAAACGTGATTTTGAATTTGGTAGTATGCTGAATGAGTCCAATGACATAAGATTGTAATGAGTCCACTGAAAGTTGTGACAACCTGCAAATTATCAGAACTATGTTCAGTTTGCGGTCTCATTCTCGCCTACGCAAAATCGTGTAAAGAGTGAGAGCATCAGATATATGTTTGTAAATTGCTATTTTAGCCTGGCTTCCATGTCTAGTTATTGTTCCGAGGTTTAATCAGTGCCATAGATTACTTATGCCATTTTAATTTAGTTAGAATACCATTGTCACCTTTATAGCTTCTCACCAAAGCGTTTCCATGATACACTTGCATTATCAGGGCCTTCTACTGAACGTTTTAAGCTTCAACTGTATCAAGATCTGAGAGAATCTCTCCGTGTTGTGCTTTTTATAATTTGTTTTCTGTTTTTTGTGTCCACGTTTTTATGTTTTTGTTTTATTTGTTCACGTTGTTATATGTTTTTGGTTTTTTGTCGCCGTTGTTATATTTTTGTTTTTTTTTCAGTTCACGTTTTTATAATTATATTTTTGTTTTTTTTTTTCATGCATAGGTGATTTCAGCAGTAGTAGCAGTAGTGCTCAGCTTTATTTTCAACATCAACCATCAGCCTGACCATCGGAAAGCCGAATTATTGAACAATATAAGTTTGATATTCAAAGTATTCAGTATTACTATCAATATTATCATCAGCATATTTTATTCAATGCAAATCGACAGTGATGCAGCACGCTTGCTTACTCAGACTTAATTTTTTTATCATTACGTTTGTCACAAATTGATTCTCTATAATGAAGTATTTATTCGTCTATGCATACGAAATTACCGTTTTGTACACATAAAAAAGTGTGCCTGGGAATTCTTAATTTCAAATGAATTATAATTTCAGTCTGTTAATTTTCTTTTTATTTATATTTTTAATTTAATTTGTTAATTTCAGTCTTTCGAACACTTTGGGCTATTGTTTCTTAAGAACGGTAATTTCATTAAAATATCAGTTATTGTTATAGTATTTTGTATAATTATAGATTATTTTTGTTACTTGAATCTCAGTTTCAACTATAAAATTATTAATATGTATTTTAAAATTATATTAAATAACCATAAGTAATCACTCTGAATAGCTTAAGTATGTAAGTAAGTACGATTACTGTCGTAAGAAGGCAAATAGTAAATATGTAGATAATTATGTATTTTTCAAAATACTGTCTGTAATAATATACATTTTAGGCTAGTTTTAAGGTACTTACTCATTTTTGACGATATTGTCTACTTTCAATAAAAGATAAATACTAAAACTATTCTTTTATTTTTCCTCTTAGCATTTTTAAAACAGCGGAAATTGGGTAATCAATAACATAACACGAATGACGTCAGGCTTTTAGACGTCGCCCGAGGTGCATTTCTTGGTATCTATACATAAGTACCTACTACCTACATTGTAACTTACACTTACTTTTCACCAGAGAATTGAGTCTGCTTAATGCCAGGCACTGGCTACTCAAACTCCAGGCCACATCGAATAAACCCAATAATACTTGCAGGACCCGGGATATCCTGAACTGGTAGTCGCTGTTGCTGGCAGTCGCCCAAAGGCGCTAGTAACTTATGACGAAAGAGGCAATCAGTTAACGTAACTTACTCAACCTTTATAAAAAGAGTTTATATTTCTCAATCTTATGCCGTTTCTCTGAGATAGCAACCTACAACAATCTATGGTAGATTTATGCTCTTTGTAAAAAGTAAAAAAGGAATGCATTACCAATAATGTCAAGTCTTAATTTTAGGGCTATAAGGTTCATGGAAAATAAATTTATCGTTATGTATTGAAAATCTACAAAACTGTCGATGTTTTCTAAAAAAGTGAATTGAGGTTTTGGGGTAAAATATAAAGAAACTACAATCCTATTTGGACATCGCAAGTTTATATACCAAGTTTAGAATACCCATTGGAATAAATTATATTCGTTCAGGTTCCAAGTTGTGAGTTGTGTATTGTGGAGTGAAATGACTAGCCAAAGGTTAATTGTGTACGGAGGGCGAGGCGCTTTAGGGAATGTATGCATAAACCACTTCAAACAAGCAAACTGGTGGGTAGCAAATATTGACTTAAAACCAAATGCTAGTGCTGATTTCAACATCATTGTGCCCCCGGATGCGACATGGTTTCAGCAAGAAAAACATGTCATCACCATGCTGGGTACGGCTCTAAAAGATGAAAAACTAGATGCAATAGTCTGCGCAGCAGGTGGTTACAGACGTGGTAATACCGTACAAAACTTCACTGAAAATGCTGAACTGATGTGGAAACAGTCTGTGTGGCCTTCCTCGATCGCTGCCTCTATTGCTACTAAGTTTCTGAGTAAAGGAGGTCTGTTAGCATTAACTGGTGCCAAAGCTGCTTTAGGAAGCACCCCCGATGCGATTGGCTATGGTATGGCCAAGGCTGCAGTACATCAACTGACAAAATCTCTTGGTGCCAAAGACTCTGGTATGCCAGAGGATTCCATAACTGTAGGAATACTTCCCAAGACATTGGATACAGATGTGAACAGGCAATGTATGCCGAAAGGCAACTTTAGCACCTGGACGCCACTGAGTTTTGTACCAGATTTGTTAGAATCGTGGATTAAAGGCGTTAACTGTCCACCAAGCGGCAGCTTAATCAAGCTTGATACTAAACACTATAACACAGAAGTGACCATATCTAAAACAAACGTAGAAAAAGTTGATGTTATTATGGATTAGTTTAGAATAATTAAATATTCACCAATGTTCCATTAATAATAAAATTACTTTTTTCCCAGTTTGAAGTTATACTTCTTACCTACATTTTTATTTTGTGATACGAAGCCCAAGTAATAACAAGAAAGCTTTTTTCTTTTTTTTATACCTCATTAATAAGACGTCGTCGATGAGGTATCTTAAGACAATTAGACGATTTAACTGTATAGTTCGACTATACAAATAAAACTGCACAGTTATATTGTTTTAAACGACAAGACATCTATTTAATTTTAATGTGTGTAATTTTTAGACGCAAAAGACCAATGTTTAGGTTAATAAAAGTAAATATTAGGTGACTGTCAATCAAGAATAATGTCAAAGTCAAATTGCCACTTGTCATTTTTAGTTCAACTGTCAAATTAATGTGGTATATGTTTCTATTTCATCTATTTGTCTACAAATTATTGTTTTTCTGTTTTTAAGTAGTTATAACATACAATTTTAATAGTCAGAAAAACAATCGGTGTAGTCGTGGTAAGCTTAGACAATATCCTTCACTTGTTATTGTCTTTTGGCAAGCCAGCGACAAAAAGTGAGAGCCGAGGTTACCGCGCCGCGCAAGTTATAGCTAGCTAACTTTTACCAGTCGGCGTCCAGTCAAGTGGTTCAGTTGAGTCTGCGCCTCGATACAGTTCAGACGTATTAATAATGGCAAGCGGAAGGATCGTTGTGTACGGTGGGCGAGGCGCGCTCGGAGCCGCGTGCGTTAATCACTTCAAATCTGCGAACTGGTGGGTTGCCAACATCGACTTAAACCCTAATGAAAAAGCTGATTTCAACATCACTGTGCCGAAAGACGCTTCGTGGGTTCAACAAGAGGAACACGTTGTGAACGAACTGGCCAGCGCCCTGCAAGGTCAGAAAGTGAATGCTGTGATTTGTGTCGCTGGCGGTTGGGCCGGCGGAAATGCTGCCAAGGACCTCAGCAAGCAAGCGGATTTAATGTGGCGCCAATCTGTGTGGAGCTCTTCTATTGCAGCCACTGTGGCTGCTAAGTACCTGTCTGCAGGAGGACTGTTGGCCCTGACTGGTGCTAAAGCTGCTTTGGAAGGTACACCTGGCATGATTGGCTATGGAATGGCCAAGGCTGCAGTGCATCAACTCACTAAATCTCTTGGTGCCAAAGACTCTGGTCTGCCGGAGAACTCACTGGCTGTTGCCATACTTCCTGTGACCCTGGACACTGAGATGAACAGGAAATGGATGCCGAAGGCTGACTTTGGCTCATGGACCCCGCTGACATATGTGGCTGAGCTGTTCGACAAGTGGATCAAGGGTAATGAACGTCCTCCAAGTGGCAGCCTGGTGGCACTGGTCACTAAGGACAATGTCACTGAGCTGATTGTCCAATGAACTTGCCAACCTAGATATAAGTGTCCGTTGTCTCAACTGTAGCTGTAAGCAAAAATTGTAACTTATTGTTCTGTTGTGTAAATTGTTTTTTAAATATTTTAAAGTACTTAATGTGCTAATAAGCATTTGTTTTCTAGCTACATTTTATAAAAAGTGTAACAAATTGTTTTTATTCATAGTTGAAGGTAAACCTTCTGAGTTTTTACTGCATTTTTTTTTTAAGTAAATAAGACAATAAAAGACAGCAATCTCAGAGTATGTATGTATGTTGTTAAGCATGTAAAGTATATCAAGTGAAATGTATCAGAGTATAATCAATGTGATATTTAAACATATATTATTAAATGTGGAAGCATTGAACTTGTTTTTTAATTACGTCTGATGTAATGTCTCATTACTGATTATGGAGGTCACTTGAGACAGGTTATCTACCATTAAATTATACTCCATAGTTATTGATAATGAGTTCTTATTGAACATTTTTAACATGCAATGGTCCCTAAGTAGTTATATTGAATTTAATGATGGGTTGATGATGTGAATATTTAGTCAATTATGCTTTTTGCTATCTGACTGACCTATAAAAGTTAGTATAATTTTACACACAGTAAACAGTTTCACTAGAATTTAATAATGTTTTGACTTATTGGGGTCATGATATATTGAATTTAACTGAAACATAAAATACCTACTTTAAAATAATTGAAGTATTTTGTCTGTAGTGCAGTGGCTATTCTAGAAATGTATTTACACCTAATTATTTGGAGACTTATAAAATTACCTGGACAAGGGAAATCCCAGCTTTCTAAGAAATAGGAAGATTTTAATGAATCACTAACCCCATACAGATGGGATTCCCTATAATGGCGCCATACCAAGCATTTATCCTCTTTATTAATTTGATTCCAAGTTTCGTTTCGTACGTCATCAGCTTACGTAGGAATTGTTTTATAGACATTTTGAACTGGTAGGTAATTGGTACGATAACATCATTTATGCTAATATTTTCAAATCTAGTTTGCCTGATGAGCAATTTTTTCAATTAGCTGTGTCATTTAATTTTTGCGTACAATTTTCTAGGTTACGGCTGTTGACGATGACGATAATGTACAATTTTCACAATCAACAACAGGAAAACATTTTTTTTTCAAATTAAATCAAAAGTGGCAAAATGACAGTCGTCATCGTCAGTGGCTTTTTTTTAAGGGGGGAAAATCATCAAATGACTTCTCCCGCCTGGGTGAGGCGGGAGGGAGTGTCAGACTCTTACTGCCTAATAACCACCCCGTTCTTACTCCTACACTTCGAGATGGAGCCCCGGTAACCCGTTAGGTTCTCCGCGGCTCCGTATCGGCATCATCCATGGTGGTCTGATGGCTCGCTCGGGTCTGATCCTGGTCGGGCGGCGAGCCACCCATGCTCGCCGTCCGCAGGCCTGCGCTTACGGTGGCCCGAGATCGTATCGTCAGAGGCTACGACTACGAGATCATTCACCTTTGTCCATGGTCAATCTAATTATGCTCATTTAGATTCCTGATAGGTAAGCAACTAAGTAGTCAGCATAAGTGGATATACGACAGCTTTCCTCAAATACATTAAAAAGATTTTCGAATTCTGAGAAGTTTCTTGTAACCACCTGCCGGGAGTTTGGAAATCCCCCGTTGGTAGTTGAATCTATGCTGTAATAAGGATTTCGTCTGTGTGTCATTCTAATTGGAATCCACCACATGTCATGCGGGTTTTGTTGTAGAACTGATGACTGAACTAGGCACAACTTCATAAGTCGATAATCTTTAAAACCTACGCAAAATATTGTTAAAATATACCTAATTTAACAATATTTTGCGGATTAGACACGGATATTTCGGCAAGAAATTAATAACCGATCATAATCCTTATAGTCTTTGATTGAGATTGAATATAGGATGTAAACTGAACGCTCCCAAAAAACGTCGATAGGTTTTTTTATGGAATAGGAGGCAAACGAGCAGACGGATCACCTGATGGTACGCGATCAGCACCACCTATGGACACCCACAACACCAGAGGAGTCACAGGTGCGTTGCCGGCGTTTAGGTGATGGTAATAAAATATGTTTTATTTTGATAAAACTAAGGAATTTAATGTTTCGTTTGTGTAATATTAATTTTAAACAATCAACTGCTCATCAGCTCATCATCTTGCATGATCAACACGAAAATAAAACCGATAAAAATAGTAAAGGCAATATCTTTTCGTCAGCGTTTCGATAGCGTTTCGTTTACATTTTTACCCGACTGCCAAAGAAGGAGGGTAATGTTTTTCGAGTGTATGTAAGTATGTATGTATGTATGTATGTCTTTTCCTTTGTGACCACCTGTAGCCTAAACGGCTTGATGGATTTTGATGTATGAGGTATCGTTAGATTTGTCTTGATTACGGGAGTGTCATAGGATACATTTTATCCTAAAAGTCCCACGGGATAAAGACATAATAATATTTTTTCTAAATTTCCCTTTAAAAAAATATGTATGCGGTATCATTAGATTCATTTCAATCACGGGAGTAATTAATATAGGATACGTTTTTTCTCAAAATTCCCACGGGAACATGTTAATTCTGCGTCAACGCAAAGCAACTCATGCGTTAGCAAGCAAAAAGATAGGGCGTGGCCTGGCATGCGGCGCGCGGCGCGGTGCGGAGGGGGATATGCTCAAGTATACAGCCCGATTGCGGGCACACGCATGAGGGCACACGTCGTTGACGATAGTCTTCTACATCTACAACATTTTCGTTAAATAAAAACAGCTAAAAAGTTATAAATAAAAAAATTATTATTAAAAAAACAAAATACCCGACTGCACACTAAAAAAAGAGTAAAACAAGCCCCACAATAATATTGATCAATCAAATGCTAAAAACTAATTATGTAATACCGTTTAAACAATACCTATATTAAAATACACTACAATATGTGTTCGTAATCGATAGTTAAATAAACAGAAACTTATTTTGAATACAAATTTACTGAATATAATTTATAAATGTTGATGGAAAGCATCGCAGGCGGGGACCACCTTGACCGCCACCAACGAAAATTCTGCTAAATGGTGCACAACCGAAATGACTATAAATAAGCCTCTGTTGGTCCCCGCCTGCGATGCTTTCCATCAACATTTATAAATTATATTCAGTAAATTTGTATTCAAAATAAGTTTCTGTTTATTTAACTATCGATTACGAACACATATTGTAGTGTATTTTAATATAGGTATTGTTTAAACGGTATTACATAATTAGTTTTTAGCATTTGATTGATCAATATTATTGTGGGGCTTGTTTTACTCTTTTTTTAGTGTGCAGTCGGGTATTTTGTTTTTTTAATAATAATTTTTTTTATATCTATGATTTCGGCTGTAGTACCTAAGCCTGCTTGTTTCGCCTTTGGGTGTAAGTAAGTAAAAGTTACATAATACAATTATTCAAGTTTTAAGATTGTTACACAAATCCAGTTTTGGTTCTTTTAAGCACTTTCACTTCGCAGGCTCAGTCCAATTGGAAAGTTAGTGTCTACTTACGTGTACGATCTTATCACTAATACCTACCTACCGTATTTGTAATATCGATCGAAAATAGTATCTACTGGTGAAAAATGAACCTTAATTCGAATAAACTAAAAGTTACATTACAACGTTGAGTGGTCGATTTGAATTTGCACGCTATTCAGTATTGTTTATTGTATACTAATCGACTATAAAATTGGTAAGTAATTGTTTATTTATAATTAAGGTTCATGCGATACGGTCAGGTAAAATAAAGTAGGTATAAATACTTCTACTATAATACCGCAATGTAAATTATTAATACCCACTTAATAAGCGAATGTTACAATGTAGTATAAGTGCCTTGAAAACTACATTAGCAATTCCTTCACGAAACACTAGCGGGAGGTTTAGTCACAATAAACTTACAGGCACTTTACAACTCTCAGTCTCTCCCTTTTTAAGATTTAATAAGTCCTACAATGTTAAATACTTATTTGTACTTACAATGAGTCTAAGATATTAAGTAATTATTGACGACAAAAGGTAGAAGGACAAATTTTACCGTGCGGTAATCGAAACCGTGACATGATGCTGTCTGCAGGTCTTTCCAGGGTTGTTTCTGATGCAGGATTTTGTCACATCAGCGGATGCTGATGCTGATTTATTGTAATTTACATCAGTTGATGCTGATTTTAAAATTTGTTTTTATACTCAATTTTATAAATTTTTTGGTATGTATATATATTTTATTATGTATATTTTCTATCAATCTACTTTTAATAAAAGATATATTTTAATAATTCTGTAACTTTGTAATGAAGAAAAACAATCAACAAATACGTAAAAACTAGTTAAGTAATATCTAAATTATTATTAATACTGGAATTCTATTAACTACACTTGTTTTTTAAAAATAAAAACAAATTAGTTTAAGTATTTTTTACATTCTTTAATGGAATTTCCTTCAGACTCACTGGTTAAAAAACTTGTCATACTCTTCGGGATGTATTGACTTCAAATGATTTTTAGCGACGTATTGGTACACACACCCTTTGCGTGAATAATTTTTCTTGCATATGTTATAGTTTGCGGTATCTAGATTCAGTAATTTAAAGTACTGCTAAATTCCGCTTTTAAATGTGGGAGGCATTTTAAAAATCATAAACGCGCACAAAAACAATGCGCTCTGCATGGGTACTGCACTTTGCTTGCAATATTGATTGACGATTTGTTATGAAATATATGTATTTTGTATATATGCACCCTGTGAGGAAAAACTAAGGTCCGTGAATCGCTTTTCCCGTTTCTTCCACAAAAAGCCAGGTAGGGCAAGCATTGTAACAGTCTCGAGCAGAACCGGTGCTACCGGTGGTTCTTAGTCAGTAAGGGACTGACACTGCCTCTCGCCTCATCTAAGGCGGAAGAAGAAATTTGATGATAAGTTTCCCACCTTAAAAAACTACGGCATTGAAGAATAGGTACCTACGTCAAATTTCTACGGTTCAATAAAGGTACAAACAGTTATAAATAAAAGCATTTATTGAGTCACAGTTGGACTTACAGTATAAAAGCTTAATGCGTAATCACAATATGTAATTAGCTTACTTAATTGTAATATCGACCTAAATTATAATAATTTAATACTTAAAATTAATGACAAATTACAATAGGCCTACGCCATAATTAATTCGTAATTTCCTACATACAATAAACTTATGTAGAATTATTCCTTATTTATTATAATCTCACAGTAATATGCTGTATAAAGTAATAAAGTAAACTATTTTAATTTAATTTAATTGCGAAACGTGACCAAAGGTCGGTGGTTTTTTCACGAAATTAAAATGGAGGGAAAACCGGCTATAGACAATTCAATATGGCCGTCTTCTATACTGGATTTACGTCAAAACTTTTTTTTCACTGGAAATGCGGCCTTTTATACCTACTTGACATGTTATTATTGAGCAATTTTTATTTTTTAAGGGTATCTATCGACCAACGACAGCTCTAACTGTGTTTCTAAGTAAATCGGTGACAAGTTCTGTTGTCTTTATTATTTTGTAGCCGATCTGGTCGATGAGGGTTATAGCCGTGGAGTATGGTGGTGACATTTCCGACACAGGCCGCAATGGGAAACGCGTCGCCTGCGTGTTGGACGCTGCACCAGCCCATGTCATCATTGTCGGTCTGAAAATAAAAACAAAGATTTTAAAATTTTACATAGATACATACGAGTTCACTTAAAGAATAAATGCTTAAAATGGTAGAATACTTATAATGTTTTATATTTTAGGTAGTATTTTTTTTGAAGGGGGAAAATCATCTAATGACTGCTCCCGCCTGGGTGTGGCGGGAGGGAGTGTCAGACTCTTACTGACTAAAAACCACCCCGTTCCTTCTCCTGCACGTGGAGCCGGAGCCCCGGTAGCCCGTTAGGTTCACCGCGACTCCGATTCGGCATCGGCCCTGTTGGGCCCCATCTGTGGTGGTCTGATGGCTCTTTGAGGCGCGCGCGGAACGCGACGCACCGTACGCTCGGGTCTGTTTCTGGTCGGACGGGGAGCCACCCATGCTCGCCGTCCGTAGGCCCGCGCTTACGGTGGCCATATTTTAGGTAGTATAGTATATTGACTGCCTACATAAATAAAGGTTTTCCTAGAAACAACATTGTAACTGACTCCGGATAAAACTCGATACCATATTCGTTGCAGTTCCACTTACAGTAACTCGACTAACGAAGCAGCTTTGAGCAGACTTAAACTAATACATTGATACCATTTTGTTTCCGGCTTAACATAATTACGTTGAAGCCTAAACAATGATGTTAAATGTTAAGTCTTGTTGGTCTTGTCCCACGCCCACGACTTACTGTAGGCTTGCAAACGAGATCATTATAAGGGTCCATTATTCATTGGTATTTGTGTGACGGTACAAGTATATATGAGGTATGATTGATGATAGAAACTACATATTGTAAAGTCATCATAACTGCCTCGTAGATCTAATGGTTGCTTGAATATGTGGACATTACGTTTTCGTTAAGTCAAAGTCAAAGCATTTATTTCAAGTAAACCATAATTTGGTACTTTTGAAATGTCAACAAATACAAAATAAATAATAGTCTGTCAGTCAGTCCTTCAGTGAAGCTAGGTGAAGCTAGGTGCTTATTTCAAAATGTAGATTCGAATAGAGAAGAACGAGCAAGAAACTCCAATCGTTACTCTTTTAAAAAAAGTATGTTCTACAATTTCTCTGATACACATTCCAATACTGTAGGTAGATACGTATATGTGGAACAATGCAAAGGTACGCTTGACGCATTAAACTAATTACAAAATTTATTAAATGAAAAAAGTAAAACAAAAAAAAATTGTCTAACATGGTGCTCACATATGCATACTGACAATCTATAAAAATAGTGCTTCTATACAAAATTGTATAAGATTATGAGTTTAAAGTTTTCATCAATGAATTGGGTGTAATTTTGTAGCTATAGAATTTCGAACTTGATTTCGTGAATACTAAAGATGAGCATAGCGCTTAAGTACCTATTTGAAACAAAGGCAAACGTACGAAGGTTTCTTAAATTAGAAGTATATCGATAAACTAATGTTTATGTACCTAATGTTCAGATTTCGGCCTTCATCCAGTAATTTAAAGATTAGGGGTAAAAGGGTAAAAGGAGTAAAAATATTTATTTCTGCAAATAGGTTATAAATTTACTTAATTTTGCTGAAATAAATATTATTTAACATAATTTTTAATTAATCGGTGTTTTAATTGAATAATACTTATGTGGTGGTTTTAGTTGGACAGTTTTAAACTACGTAGTAGCTTAAAACACTTTATTTTATAACAATAAACACAAAATTCTGAAGCACAATTAGATTCTAATGCTTTTTGTTATGGTCTACAAAATAAGTTACTATGCCTGTCGGCTATAGCCAGCCAGCCTCATTAATTTATCATTAAAAATCAGGAAATATAGCAAAGCATCGCAGCTCAATGTTATAAAACACAATAGATGCCCCCTAATATGATTAATTTATTTTAAGCGGTTGGTTGAAAGAAACCACTTCTGTTCGCCTCATTTAGATAACGATGTTTCTATTTATGATTTTAAAATATCAATTATTTAAAAGTTGTCTAATCATTGCGAAATATCATAAACTTTTGACCTATTGGTAGCAGTTTCATACGAATAATTGTAATATTACTCAATACTTCTGTGTTTCGTGATTTCAATCGCATTCTGTGAAGATGCGGATTTTACGGTTGCACTGAAGTAATTTGTGATGATTGCCTGCTAGGTAGAAATCTTAGCTAGAGTAAAATGTGGACCTAGGTATTTCGTTATTAGTTTTCCGAAGTTTCTCAACCATCAAATTGCGTGATTCATGTCAAAAGCTTATTTGCTCAAAAATTATTATGTCGTGTACGAGAGAAATCCTCTACCCATACCTAATTTAACTCTTGAATCAATTGATCTACTACTATTTGCCTTTCTAGAAATGAACATGAGCCTTTGTCAATAAAAATCTTAATAACCTCTGAACAGAATAAATAATACACTAGCTTTAAAGAATAAAAATGTACCTTGCTCCAAACTATTTAAGTTTAAAAATATAACAAGGCTAGCAATAATCAACATTCATATATTTTTTTAAGTAGGTGACTGTTAATATGCTGTTAAAGTAATGTGTGTGCAAAGTGTTCGCAAGTGCGACTGCCGGGCAAGAGGTGTCGGGTTTGATTCTCGGGTCGGGCAAAATATTACTGGGTTTTAAAAAAATCTCAGTTGTAGCACGTAGGCTGGACTTTTGTTATTTTGCCCAGTAAGGAGGCGGCAATAGGCTCACCCCCTATTATAGGGAACTTATAACATAAATTGTGGAAACTAGGTGTTACATTTTACAATGGCATTAAATGTCGTAATGTGCACCTCTGCCCACCCTTTCGGGGATAAAAGGCATAATGTTATGTTACAAAACGTACACATACGTAGTTACAGGTTTATTAGTAAAATATTAAGCAACCCCGTACGACTGTGTTAAGTTGACTTCATAAACAAAAAACCAACGTCTATCAAGTATGGTGTTTAGCTCACCTGGGAGGTACAGGCCTAGTACTGGGGGGCCTCGTGGTAGTGCTGGGTCTCGTAGTAGCCTGAGTCATTGGTCTCGGAGTAATACCCGCTGACGACGGACTGCCCATCATCAGCTCCCCGTCGTCACCAAACCTGGAATGGGTAATATCGGGAAGTAAGTTAAAATGTCGAAGAAAAGCGTCTGAATTTCATTTAAATATGTCATTAATCAATCAATCATGAACTAAAAATATTGAAACTTTCATTAATCATCTTTCATTAACATTCTTAATTAGAACTCAGTAGCTGCATAAATCGTGTCGTTGTGGTCGTTGCGTGAAATGTAGGGTTTTTTAATTTGAAATTACCGAATTTAAACCTCTAATATAATGAGATATATGCTTGCTCTGTAATATAATGAGATAGATTGACATCGGCAGTCGTTTTTGTAACCACTCGACCATCGAGACAGTTAATCTCAATACCACAAAAAATATGATTGTTAGTTAACTGGTGCATGATGTCAAGTATCCACAAGTAAAGAAAGGTAATGTGTATGTATATGTAAAATAAATATGTGTATGTAAAATAAAGAAAGGTAATGTGTATGTATAATGATAGTAGGTACATATAAAGAAGTAAGGTATAACTATCTAAAGGGAAATTATTTGATTGTTTGTTGTAAAAATTTTACCATGGAAGTTTACTGTTCAGAGAGTAGCATAGACTTATTTTTATCTCTAAAAATATATTGTTTCGCAACTTACTAAAGAAAAGATTGACTAGTATTACGGTGAAGTCGTGGCTGCAATGTTAGTATACTTTACCTATATTTGAGTTGGCCACATATGTAAGTGGGCCTCTTCAAAATAAGATACTTTCGTTCAAAACTCTTGAGATGGCAAAAAGGTAATTTGTAAGTAAACACTCGTATCTGGGGCATGTTTTAACTGTAAATAATACCCGTAATTTACTTTGCATGTATGTACCTAAATAGTGTTTTTGAAGGTTAAGAGTCAAAACTATTTATTTGAAAGTATAAATTAAGATGAGTGTTCCATACGTTGGAACTGTTTAACTGGAAGTAAGCCATGGTGCTTTAAGTAGTAAAAAAGGTGCATATGCATACCTACTTATTTGTAGATAAATATGGAATAGTCTGCCATTAACTTCTTCTTATTGTATGAAAAGACTGCCGCGTGGGCCTAGTGGTCGCAAATGCGACTGCCGGGCAAGGGGTCTCGGGTTCAATACCCGGGTCGGGCATAGTATTACTGGGTTTAAAAATAATCTCAGTAGTAGCACGAAGCCTGGAGTCGTGCCCGGTATATGGTAATAGGCTCTCCCCCTATTAAATGGGACTCATAACATAAATAGTGAAAAGTGAATGTTACATTGTACAGTGGCATTAAGTGCCCTAGGTAATGTGCACTTCTGTCTACCCCTAAGGGGATAAAAGGCGTGATGATGTGCGAAAATAAAGTTTCCAATAAAGACATTAACGAAAAGACTAGATCATTGTCTTCGTTAATATTGTTCTTAACCTCGTGTCGTTCTTTCATTCATAGGCCATTCAGAAATGGTAAACAGCCTTATGACCATGTGCAGTCCTTTCTTATGTGCTTAATGCATATTAGCTCAAATGCCGTTACGAATTAGGTGCCTGTCTTATACCTAATAGTCAAGATTTATTGTTAATCGCCATTATGAGTGTGTTAGCTTGTATAAAATTTTTAAAATTATTCAAGGTTTGGTATATCAGCGTGGGTAGGATATCTGCTTTCGTCTTTTAGGTCATTGTTGTCGTTTAATTCAGGGTGATTTTTACCGTACCTACAAATTTTTTTAATCAACGCCCGTGCCGTGCCAGTACATTGCTAGACTACCGCTACCACTACCAATAGGTTTATTTTAATTTTTACCCATTTGGATTACCACTACCTAAGTGGGTTAAAAGTTGTATGAATTTTAAAAAGTTCATAATTATCTGTCAGTGAGCAAAGTAGCCCAGTGTGTTGCGTCTCAGTTAAATGCCCGGTGACTTATATCAAGTGTATCCCTTAGTCGGCTTTTACCACATTTGCGGGATCAGCAGGATTGCTAGCAAACGAATTCTACGTATCTATAAGGCTATGCCAAAGATAGGTAAACAAAAATACTAAGTTTGTTGTCTTAGTTTAAGTACGAGGAAAATCATCTGATTTACGTGATTCTCTAACAATTTAGATTTATAGCATTCGTTAAATTTGTTAGGTAGGTTTACGAGGTCAGATTGCTGGCAAGATTTTGATGCATTCGTTGATAAACGAAAATCCAAGACGAAACTACGAAATTACCTATTACTTCGGATAGACTATAATGACGTTATAGAGGAAAACAATGATCTATCTATGTAACTCTCTCTACTTATCTCTACAAACAAGTTGTAATCAATCTTAATCCGTAAACATGGGAATATAACAGTTGCTACGCGTATTGTTAAAGAAGATTAGTCTTGCAACTAATGGTATTATCATAGAATTACTAGAAACGAAGGTAAGTATGTAATTGTAGGGCTCATGCCATTGTAAATTGAAGATAATATATCGCTGTATCGCGTTTAGTTTTCAATTATTGCATTAATAACGTGAATGACAGTGTTATTAGTGTGTTAAAGTTACGAGGTGTTCAATAATATTATGTTGTTTGTTTCGAATTAACACATTATATTATCGCGTTTTTTATTTTGATTAAGATTAGGCAGAAGTGCAAGTCGTAAATGTAACGCCTACTTTTCTTCAGTCCGTTTGAAAATCACGAACTGATTCTCACATAAAATCTTGTTAGTGTTTGGCAACATAACTCACCTGCGGGTATTTAATATATGAACAAAATTGAATACAATCAATATTTTCTTTCTTTTTTTTAAGAAAAATTCCATAAAATCTAACAATAATATCATTCTAGTCTAAAAGGACTAGTTTAAAAATTTAACGGTCCATCAAGAGGGACTCATCGAATCGATTCAATCAAAAAATCACTAGACAGTACCGTAGTAAATCGATTATCATAAACGATTACAACACATGTTACCGATTGTTACCGAGCAATTAATTCTGCAATGGCTAAATCAGGTCCAGAGTGAACCAGTCCATCGTAAACCGTGTTTAGAGTTAGCGAAACATCGATTGTATTATTTGTGAACACGCGAACTGAGATTTGAATAACACTAGTGATGTAACTTGGCAATATAGTTGTGAACCTAAAATTATCGATTTTTAAAAACCTCTCTCTCCATTGGGTCAAAACCGCATATATCTAAAAATTGTGGTCAGCTTCAGGGTTGTATCTGGGGCACATGATCTGCTTCCACCAGCCTCTATTTACACTGTGTCTTTTAGTTTCATATAGAATTGAAAGGTCGATGACTCTTTCAATTGATTGGCCCGTCCTGATGGTGACAGACTGGGGTTAAAAATCTATTTATCGATAGGAAAAATCGGATAGAGATATGAAAAAATGTTATAGAGGTAGAATGGCAAAGAAATCCGTCAATAGTTTCTTCACATATCTAGCTAAAGCCAATGATCGGACCGTAATAAAATAATAGGTAACGACACAGTAATCTACACACAGCACACGTAATCTAGATCCTATTATATTATTAGTTCCATAAAGATTTATTTTTTATATCCGTGTTATATAACATTGTTACCTATTATCTAGGTTATGTGGTCTAATTTTGAAATACTTGTATGATTGATGACGATCTTGTTAATACTCAAATTGGTCCGTATTGGATTATCTGTGATATTACTTGCAAGTGTTACAGGTAAGTAGCTTTCTTTGAAGAAGACTGATGTTAGTACAATTCTTTTCAGTATTCTGACGGGATTTTCTGTGGCTTAATAACTTAATTTGTTTCGTATAATTACTTTAACGAATTTTGAGAAGATTGATCGCCTGATGATAAACGATTAGCGATGAGAGGGATCGGACAAGCCCACCACAAACGTAAACCGCTGCAACTTTTGTAAGCCAGGATCTACAGTAGTTACAACTATGAAAACACCGGAACAATGAAGTCCGGCGCGTCCCAGAGACATGAATAACTGTCTTGGATCCCGTAATGAAATCAATCAGAAGATATTAATAGAGGAGAAGAAAAATACTATAATTCCAGTAAATCAGAGGGATACCCGATTTTTATAGGTAAATGAACCTCACCTGTTCAGTACAATAGGTCTCGGTGGGGTAGGCTCCGTGGGGCCTGGAGTTGGATTGGTAGCTGGTGGTGATTGTGGTACACGTGGTGGTGCTAACGGTGATGACGTGGGGAGTGCACTGCCTGTGGGAGAGAAACATGCAGTATGTATTATTAAATAACATAGGTACTTTAGACTGACAAACTTTCATGGATAATGGAGAATTCAATTTATAACTCTTACAATTAAATAATGAAACGAAAGTAGAAAAACAAAAGAAAAGAACAAATATTATACCCTTAATTTAGGCGTCAAAGTACTCGTCCGCGTCACCGAAGACTGGCAGCATTGCCATTGTTAAATTAAATAATAGACCTAAAAATCTAGTGATGCCATTCGTATCTATATTACGCAGTTGATCAGAAATTTATTTTGAAATTAATTAATTTTTCATTTGTTGCTGTAATGGTTGTTTACCTACTGATTGCGTTGGTACAAATACATAGTCGAACAAAACAATACCAACTTTACGACGAGCGACCATTAACTGCAATTGTCGGTTGCCAATCAATGAAAAATAACATTTAAACATTTGATACCTGATCCTGGGATGGTGTTATAGTGTTCTTTAGCGAGGAATTCTTCGAAGTATCTGGTGAAGTCTCCTGTGGGATCCCACCGGGAAGCAAGCTTGGACCATTCGTCTGGATACTCGTTCTTCAGCCGCTTGATCACCTTCACTGCTGTTCGCTTCTGTCGCTCTGTGCAGCGGACACATTTCGTCCTCAACGCTTCTGGGAGTATTCCTGGAAAGAACAATATGGTATTGTGATAATGCAAATGATTTCAAAATGGTATAAAGTACCTCATTGGACATGGTATTAACTGCTGTACATTTTTACAGTGCTCATAAAATCGAAAATGCATTAAACAGATGAGATATATCGGTTAAAAATAGGACAGCACTGACGTGCTCTAAAGATCAAAGAACTAATAAACCGGACAAGAAAAAATGGGCCAAAACAAACTTGGTCTTCTTTAATGATCAAGAAATGACCGAGTTCTTGGCATTCAATGCTGTTCCATAAGTACGAAGAAAAAATACAATGTTGACAATGCTGTTCCTACAACAGGTTGTTAATGAAACTGTATGGACTTGAAGGATGCCCTTCACTTTGCACCAGATAAGTACCAGATACCAACGGTACTTTAAACATGTCCTAGATTTTCGAATATTACCACAAGGTTCCCTGGTACCGTTATATTTTACGTACTTACTGCAGCTTTTACTTTTTTATAAACGTGGAAAATAAATTAATTAAGGACACGTTTACTTTAATTATGATTGTTTAAAGAATTTATTGTTATACGCATGAGTTTTTTAAGCTTTTTTGTATAAGGTTTAACTTGATACACGTGACTAACAATATGCATAGTGATAACAAAGTGAATTTAGGTATAAATACGTGCATTAGTACTATACACACCCATTAGCGAAGATGCCCTGTCTTTTATTTAGCAGAAACCAGGTCCAGGTTTTTCTAAAGCAGCCAGGACATAAAGAAAAACAAAATATAACTGGAAAAAACCATGACAAAAAGAGTGTGGACCCCCTTTGCCCTCTTATTAGGTACTTCAATATGGCAGAATCGTGTTCTGTCATCAACTCCTGCCAATCATATCCAAGTTTAATCAATTTTATGAGTAGTTACATGATCATTACTTCTTTTTTCTTTTTTAACAGTGCATTGATTTTATCACTCTGCATTCCAATCTTTTTTTAGCTCAAATTGGATGCAAAAATTGACCACGTTCAAACAGGTTTTTATTATTTAGTAAGGCTAATTTTAGATTTTTTGCCATCTTGATATAACAGTGGTAGAGGTTTTAAGAATCTTAAAATCTTAACACTAATGGTACGTTATAAGCACTTCATGCTTACAACCTGATTATTATTTTTTGGTAGGAAATATGAATTTATTGATCGTGATTATATTTCAAGTGCATAATCAAATGTCGTTTATTTTTTATGCAACATGCATTACTTTACATAGGTATTAATTACTTATTATGTATGTTATACCTGTTTTATGTTCGGATGCAGACATCAATTTAAAAAGTAAGTAACTATGTATCTACCTATTTCTTAATATTAGATATTAATGATGTAGTAGATGTATTTTACTTATGAATGCAATATACCATTTTTAATTGAACATTTACCTTTGTTACGTCCAACGGAAAAATGCAAAACGTTTGCAGAAACACCCCATTTAAGCGTAAAAATAAATACTCGTTTCCGCATTTACGCGGCAAAATATACGATAGCGCAGATTAAAAACATCGCAAATATTCCACAGATAATAAAGAGTTTAAAAGCATAGGTAATGAAGTATTTGTATTCAGGTGACTAGTCATTCGATCACGTTCACTCGATGACGGAATGCGTTGATTATTTCCTTGTTTATTATAAAACAAAAGAGTAACCTCCTTGTTTGTAGTTGAGTAAACTTATGTATTGTAGCGTTTTGTCTATGTGCTTTATATGTAGTCAAAGCGAGGTAAATAAACTTATTTTTTATTTATGTATGCTTACGTTATGGCATTTGCATATATGTACTTACATACGAGTAATTAAATGCATTACTTATTTACATAAAAGTATAGTCGACATTGAAGACGCCAGATTGGTTCCTGAATCAAATTAAATTACTGTTGTGTGATTACTAGACCATTGAAACGATATTTATTTTAACAACCGTCAATAATATACAGTTATTTATCGTTTTAACGGTTTCATACGAACAGTTATATAACATAGCACAATTTTAGTACTAACTAGGTAATGTAATAACAGTTTTCTGCCAAATTAAAGTTACATTAGTCGGGCACGCAACCTGTACTTACATAATGAACAATGCTGTTCGAAACAAAACATATCTTTTGTTTATTTTTAACCTACATTTAGGAGCATGCAAACTAGTGCGTTGACCTCAATCAGCCTCCGAACATGTCAATGCCAGCTAAAAAAGGTTGGCTCGAAAAGTATTGTTATCTAAAACCACTAAAAACGTTTTCTGGGTAGGTGGTACCTTCTTCCATAACAGATTTTGAATTTATTTGTTTTTGTTTTAAGAATGTTATGAATGTTACGACTATTGTAGAGTGTAGAGCATAAACAATTAGATCATCTGAAATGACAAAGTAAATTACCTCTTTTCAAAGAGTTAAAATAAATTATGTAATTTAATTAGATTTACACGTTGTGCGTACCGGTTAAAAAATTCAGCATTCCAATCAGCTGGCTCGTTGGTCTAGGGGTATGATTTTCGCTTAGGGTGCGAGAGGTCCCGGGTTCAAATCCCGGACGAGCCCAATCTCTTTTTATTTTTAATAGTTTTTGCAAATAATATCACTGTTGTACTCATGAGATATTAATAAATCTATGAGCTCGATTAGAAGAAACCATTTCTACAAAAAATATTCCTCTTGGCCTGTATCCAAGACAAGCAGAGTCGTAACCACATACTGCTTTTCCGAACATATATCGTAAACATTAATTTCAGTGAATTTTGCGTGTAAAGCTTCGAATAAACAAATCAACCAACACAACTAGCTCTCTAATTATTTTGTCGAAATTATGTTAATTGTTTTGTCAGTATTTTGAGGACCTTCACAATCCACTAATGGGCTGTTTCATAATATCTAGTCCTGCAGCTGTAGCCGAATGCCATTTAGCGCATGTCTACATGTAGAATAGAAAACCAAATTATATGGAATTGACGTAAATTTTGATACTTGTCAGTGTCATCCCCATACATTTAGTTTTCTACTCTCTCTGTAGACAAGCGCTAAAGTGGCGTTTGGCTAATGGCACTGGATAGCCGCTATGTACCAGGTATATTTATAACTAGATAAGCAGAATACTTCACTTATTTCTAGACTCTTATATAACAATGATTATAGTACACGCATATTATAAAGTAATTAGTACTGACATCAGCAATGAAATGAATGACCATAAGAAAGCATTGTATTGAAATTAGAGGCGACGCGGTGTCGGCGAGAAACCTTCATTATTGTTCGAAGCTACGTACATAGTTTATACATAGACATAGTACATTATGCCTGAGATTTTTACAATCGTTAATTAAATTTATCTAGGAGTATTCTGTGTGTGTTTTCAAGCATAAAATGTAGGTACTACTGAGGATTATCGCCACGTCATGTCGAAAATCAGTTGGACAAAATTGACATAACGAGTATTGTATCTAATTAGGGACGATATCATTGCTTGCATTTCATACCAAATGAGTAGCTAATTGTGTAAACTGATAAACTCAGAGTACCTAACTAATTCGGAAAAAATATAGTCATAGAGTCAAGAAGTTGTATCATACTAATATTATAAATAATGTGAAAGTTTGTATGCTTGTCTGTCAATCACGCACAAACTACAGAACGGATTTTGATGAAATTTGGTATACAGGCAGACTATGGACTAACTTAGATGATAGGGTATTTATCCCGATCAAATGCTCCCATGGGATAAAATAGAAATCATATTCTTCGCGGACAAAGTCGCAAGAGATAGATTATAATAAATCCTACCATGAAAGTTACTTAAGTATCGTTGAATATTTGATTTTCTTTAAGGAAACTAGTAGAGTAGATTAGTAGTTAGTTGTACCTAGTAGTGAATAAGTGTTTATTATGAAATAATTGATGGCGTATTGCATTTGCGTGGAAGCAACACGACAGTCATTTCTATTGCAATAGTGATCTTAGGAAACCATAGATTGCTCATCGCAGGGTACCTGCAAATGAGTATTTTCTTGAGTATCTGTGGTACTAATTTAGTACTCAGTAAGATTATTGCGATACTATTGTGTTAGTAGTGATCAAGTGATTGATGTTTGCTTGTGGAAAAATATTATTGCTTTTTAAGAATTAACGAATCTCGAACATAGGAATTTAAATATATTTATATAATTTGAACAACTATTAACTATTTCGGTGATAGAACACTAAAAAAGAGAATATCATATCAGTCATATTATTTAGAAATGTCCTAATAAGTAAGTATAAGTTTCAACACCTGTATTACATTTAAATATAAGTAGATTTAATTGTAATGTCTAGCGACTCGACCCCGCAGTCAAACCATTGCAACGGTTTTGTGGGGCTTAGATTATAAAATACTTACCTGTGTGATATAAAGATAAATAAAAAAAATCAAACTAATATAATTTTTGAATAAGAAATCAATTCGGCTTGTTTATTTAACTTCAATTAAGTACATTCTTCCCAATAATTAAATCTTGATATAATAAATTTTAATCATTCACAAAAAGGTTTGCCGTGGGTTTAATTTGAGGCCGTTGGAAAATCCTGACTTGTTGAATTAGGGCCTATAAAATATTATTTTTATGTCGAACGTAATCTCATTAATGTTCATATCATAAATTGAAATTGATACCTATCAACAATTTACATGTAAGCTTTGTAAAATAATGCTCTTGAACCCATAGAGTAATTGATGTTGACAGCTAACCACAGACTATTTATAGAGCAACCACAGAATATGCAAGGGTGACCACAGACAAGTAATAAGCCCTACATAATATGGAGATACTGTAATAATAACGATAGGATTACTGATGAGTTGTCATTTGTCTTAATAAAAAGTAATTTATTCACATTGTAGCAAAGAGGCATTGCAGGTAATGACCTGGGAAGCAATATCAACCGTTGATTGTATTTGTAAGAACCTACTTGTAAGCAAATGATATAGAAATGATTCTGA